CTATACATTAATAGCTTACCCCAGAATAAACTCCAAATAGGTAAAAAAATTAAAAATACCAAAAAGCAGAGAGAGATGAACAAAAAAACCATAAGAGTACTAGAAAGATAACATTTGATAATTGCTGGATAATGCTGAGTCAGGGAAAGATTTTCAAACAATGACATACAATTTAGAAGTCAGTAAAGATTGGTAAGCACTTTAACTGCTGGGGGAAAAAATTCAGCGTGATAAAACCACCATAAACAAACTAAAAAGTAAAGAACAAATTAGGAAAAATACTTCCAAAAAATAGCATACAGCTATTTTTCCTAATATAAAAATAAATTTCCTAATATAAAAATAAATTCTACAAATCTGAGAAGTAACAAAGTGACATAAAAATAGGAAAGAATATGGACAGTTCACAATGAAGAAACTATAAATAGCCCTTAAAAGACAAAAGATGTTTAATGTTACTCATAATAGCAGGGCTGATGGAATGTAAGTTGGAACAGTTTCTTCAAATGTTATTTTGGCAATATCTATCAAACTTAGAAAGCACATACATTCTAGGAATTCCACTCCTGGATATGTATACTACACGTTTCTACACAAGTGTTAAAAAAATGTATATATAAGGAATCCACTGTACCGTATCTTTTCATAGCAAAAGGCTGAAAACCATCTAAATGTACATCAAAAAGGGGGTACTTAAATCAATACTATACCTGTATAATGGTGTTACGGACTGAACTTGTGTGTCCCCTTTGGGAATTCTGGAGGTAATTAGGACTATAGGAACTCATGAAGATGGAATCCCATGATGGGTTTAGTGTCATAAAAAGAAGAAGAGAGAGCAGATACTCCCTCTCTCCATGTGAGGACATGTGAGGGGACATGTCAAGCCAGGAAGAGTCCTCACAGGAACCAATCTCTGAGCACCTTGATCTTGTACTTCCCAGCCTCCAAAACTGGAGTGTTTATTGTTTAAACCACCCAGTCTATGGTATTTTGCTATAGCAGCCCAAGCTGACTAAGACAAATAGTCTTAGTGAAGTGTGTTTAAAAAAAAAAAAAAAAAAAAAAAGAATAAGCATGATATTTATGTCCTGATATGACTAACAGGAAACCATCCTAAGCTATACTGTTAAGTTAAAAAAAAAAGCTAAAGGATACTGTGCATAGTATGCAACAACTTAAATGAAAAAGATGAAGGCAGAGAACATAAATTACACATACAAGACATACAATCCATCACTGGCCATTCTAAAATCTTTAAAGTTCTGAAAAAATATTTCCTTATAAGTTTAGTACAAACCTATTTGGTGTCAAAATCTGACAATAATTTCCATGAGGCTTTATAATTTTTACCTTTATTGTACTATTTATGCTTTTGTTGCAGAAATACTAATGTATTTAATTACAAGATGCTACAACATTCCCCTCCAAATAGTGATTTTGAATAATGCAGTAAATGCACTATATTACCTTTCCACAGCACCCCCCCCACAAACAAAACTTAATTCTGAAATACAACTGGATCAAGGGTTTTTGGACAAGGTATTATATATCTCTATTTACTTACACATACATAAACTATTTTTGAAGGGATTCACAGGAAACTTAACAGTGTTTCCATGTGGAGGAACTGTGTGGCTGTGCAGAATGGGAAGGAGACTATACTGTACATCTTTTAAAATCTTTGAAATTCTGAATCAAGTAAATACATTACCTAAGATGTAAATAAAATTACTAAAACTTTTCAATTCTCAGCTATATGCTTTGGTTTTCATTTGACTAGAAAGTAACCGTTTCTTGAGTCACAGAGAAATCTGTGATGGCTTTCCTTTATTTCATTTTTGGTTGACCCATATGGCAGCTGAGAGTCAGAGAGTCATCCTCTAAGGACCAAGTCAGGGAAGGGTGAGTATCCATCCCTCGTAACAGCTTTTAGCTGAAGTTTTGAAGCTTCATGCCAACCAAAGGTTTTTCTTTTCCAGTGACACCAAAAATATGCTGGGGGGGCTTGGGACCCTCAGCAACAGGAAGCACTGAAGCCCATACTTCTCAATATTAGAAAAACTTAAGAAATGCTCCTACCATAAATCTAGCTGTAAGTCATCAAAGCTTCAATACAGGAGTTTGAGGACTCTGATTAGTATCTGAGTAGCATCTTTTCTATCTGCTTTTCATATACTTCCTTTAATACTTTATTGTGTTCCAAAATGGATTTGAGGATAAAAGGTTTATCTTTATTTAGCATACAGATTTTGACTTATCTGTACCACACTCTCAACTTTAACCAGAAATTAGGAAAGAAGACATCTTCCTTTTTGTGGTTTATCTAGTGAGTACATTTTAAAAGGTAATGTGACAGATGTAGGGTTTTGAAGTCCCCAAATGCTCCAACATCCAGCACTCAGGTTTCAAGATTAAAGAAATTCCCAATAAAATGCCTATCAATATCTGGTTTCTTGCAACAGGACATAAATGCATTTACATTTGTCCTTATTTCCCATCAGGTTATACTCATGAAAAGTAGAGACTAATTTCTACTTCCTGTTGCCCCCACATCACTTAATGAACACCACATATATAAGCCAGTGTCATTTCTTAGTTCCTGTCCTCAAGGAGTGATGTACCAATGTAACCACAGAAACACTACACAGAAAACTCAGAAAAACACAGGAAAAATATTTCCGGATACTACTTATAAATAACTTCCCTCATTTTTCTAGAGGCCTCTAGAAAATGCTTAATGAACTGTTGTGGTTACCTAGTCTCTGACAAGTTTGCAATCTTCACAAAGTCACAAATTCCAGTAAGACTAAAGATGGAAAAGCATTCCATTTTCTTCAAATACAGAAATAGGATACAGCTACTCCCAGCTCCTAGATTATCATTCTTTTAGAAATCTGTCAAAATCAACCTAGGAAAGCTTAGACAATTCTCTGCAGTGGGAAAGGTAAACACGGCAAAATAACTTTGTATCAGAAAATGTGGCAAAAATTTTTTTTTTCATTATTTGCTTTTAAATTAAATTTAAAGCAGAGAGGATTACTGGTCCAAATGTTAAATCATTCCAGTCAATTCAGATTAGATGAGACAATCCAATTTTAAATAAACCCCCAAAGATGCAAAGGGAAACAACTGGCATTTTCTGGAGAACTCAGATGTATACATGAAATTTGTTTTTAATTTACCTGGAATCTTCCATTTGTTCCAAGTTAAAAATAATAAGTGATAATAACAGCTAAAATTTCCTGAATACTTACATCTAGGGGTCCACATACTGTATTAGTGCCAAGCACTTTACATGCAATACCTTACTTAAACCTTACAGCCCTATGAGATTATGTGCTATTATTATTCTCACTTGACAAATAATAAAACAGGCCCAAAGACAGTATATAACCTGAACTAACCAACCCGGCCATATAGTTAGTTAGATTTGGATCATGAATTTGAACTCAGAGCTGACCTTAAAACTTATGGCAACAACCACTATTACATTTGGGCTCCTTAACTTCCTAAAGGACTGGCAGATTTTAACCAAAACTGACATACTTCCAAAGGGTAACAGGAGACAGACATATAAGTGTACTGTATTAGCTGTATCTCTGATATAACCCACCACTCTGAAGAAGAATGGCAGCTAATATGTGTTCTAAAAGACCTTATACACACACATATTCACATGTAATTTAAAAAACGGATTTCAATGAAATTTAGCCTGCCCAGATATTTGGGGGCAGGCTTTTGTTTGTTTGGGGGAAGCCCTCTCATAAATCTTTTAAGAGAATATAAATTCACTGTTTAGATATGCCTTTATTCCAATCCTTGATCAGAAGCTTCTTAAGGCAACTCTTCATTTTCACATCTTCCATCAACTCTCTGAGAGTAGAGTCTCATTAGTAAAGCATGGTGCTGTGGAATGAATAAAATCTATCATTCAAAAAACTCAAGCTTACAGTGAAATTTTCATTTGTCTTATAAGAATGGATTACACAAAATACTTAATTTTTTCTGCTTCTGAAAATTACAAAAGTCTAAGTTTCATTGCTGTTCTTGACCCAGGATTCTGATTATCACCCAAAAACTTTTTGTCCCAGTATGTTTTCTGAAGAAAAACCTATCCCAAGAACGTTTCTATAAAAAATAGTTCCAACAGCCTCAGCTTACAATTCTAAATTCAAAAAGGTTAAGCAACTTTTCTATGGCTCAGGAACTTGTTGATGACAAAGTCTAGAAGACAGAACTGAAAAGTGAACCTAGGTCTGATTACTGGACAGGTCTAGTTTCACCTATTGCCCTGATAGGACAGCTCTTCTTTCAGTACTCCTGTCTCTTTTTAGGTAATAAAGTCTGTTGACTCAGAACTCATTTTTGAAATCAAAGTTCAAGTTAATCTGCATTAGAGTAAGAAAACTAATTTTCTAAATGTTCATGTAAAGAGCTCATGACTAAGACAATAAGCATCACAGCTCTGAAATAAGCAAATGATTCATATCTAGAACTATGTGGCTACAATGTCTTCCTTGCACTACATGAATCCAAACGACTTATTCTCCATACCACTGATTTGACCAGAGACCTCTATAGAGCTGGCATCTTAATGTCAGATATTATTTCATACTTCTACATGTGCCACACAGTGGCTGAACTATCTAGATGACTCGAGTATGTCCAAACTCAATTCACAGACAAAGCAGACTAACTTGAATCAGACTTTTATTCAATAACTTCCTCGACTGTCTCTAGGATAGTTTGTGACTGACTGGTCACTTAAATTATTTCCAGTTGCTTCACTGAGCACTGAGTATCTTCACAAGGTCATTTCCATAACATTAGGCATTGAGTTAAGATTCTAACCTCATTAATTTGGGTAGAATTTATTATTAAATTAATTTCCTCGCCAAGTGGCTTTTCTCTGAGGACCTAAAGGAGTACAGGGATATAGTTTCCCACTCTGCCAGGACAAAAAGCCCATTTCAAACTTATTAATGGAATATACTCACCGAAAGAATCAGTGCTATCTCTTCCTTTAAACATAATTTAGAGTGGAAAAGGGAATAACTGCTCATGGGTAGAGTTTTTCTTGGGTGATGAAAATGTTCTAGAATTAGATAGTAACGATCAATGTAGAACTTTGTGAATATATTAAAAACCACTGATGCACACTCTAAAAGAGTAAATTTTATGATATGTGAATTATATCTCAATAAAGCTGTTAATTTTTTTTAAACCAAAAGAAATTAAAAAACAAAACAAAACAAAAAACTGGTTTAACATGTAGCCTGACAGTGAGCTACTGCCAAAGGATTTGTATTAGTAACCCTTCCTGAAATTTGACATACTGTAACTAGGTAAAGTACTAAAAGTTTGGTATCTCAAGATTTTCATTCCTTATCTTAACAAAGTATCATTTCCTTTTCACTTGTATTCTACATCAGGCAATAATGAGCTCACCTCAAATTCTCTCATATCCAAAACAAATGCTAAAATTTATTAAGTAATGAGTGGAAAAAAGATAGAACTTGGATAAATAAGTATTATTTGGGTTTTTAGGCACATATGCTTCACCAATAGTAGAATATTAACTTAAGTTAGGCCCAAATGCTTCACCAAGGTAGAATTTTAAATTAAACATTTCTAAAAATGCAATTAGAAATTAAACATCTCTAATAAAACTTTTTATGTAGCTTATTTCCTATAGTCTAGCTTTTCCACTTATAAATGTCATCAGAAATTTTTCAAGCAATATTTGCAAAAACACAAACTCAGTCATTTTGGACCCCTATTGCAATAACATTACACCTGTGTGTGATACACAGACTTTTAGACAAGGTTTTGTTGTAAGATAACAAATTAGAAGTGACGGGGTAAAAAAGGTAAGAAAATATTCAGGGGTGCCTGGGTGGCTCAGTCAGTTAAGCGTCTGCCTTCTGCTCAGGTCATGATCATAGATGTGTCGGGCTCCCTGTTCAGTGCAGAGCCTACTTCTCCCTCTCCCTCTGCTCCTCCCTGCCCCTCACCTATAAGCTGTCTCTCTCAAATAAATAAAATATTTAAAAATAAATAAATAAATAAAATATTCAAGAGCCCCTACTGTGGTGCCACATAATACATATGAACCAATCATTTAGACATCTGAAAGTGACAGTCTGCAAGAGGCTTTACAGAGACCTGCAAAGACTGTATTTAAGCCTGGATTTTAAACACTATTAATTGTAAAGAGCTTTTCATCAATCTGACTCTTTTTGAACACTTACTCTATTTCAGGCTAGGTGTGGGAGACAGATGCAAGACAGGCCTGTCCTCAAGGAAGTCCCATTTTGATTGCTTGCTTTTGTCAGGCACAGCATTAAACATGTTCACGGACAGCATATGACCACCTAGGTTTAACCCACAGCAGGGTAATCTAAGATAAACATTACCAATGACTATAAGATTGTAAGGCTATTAAAACTTAAAAGTTAAATTTGTAAATAAAGAAAGCCGTTGTACATTTAGACCAATCTCCTAATCAACTTCCCAATACACTGTAAGTTCCAGATTGTACTAAAACGAAAACGAAAACACAACAGTAAAATGACCCAGAGTACAACTATCCCTTTTTTAACACACACCACTTACATAATTGTCTCATTTAAAGGGACATCTATCATAGTTCCGTCAAAGCATCCTCCTTCATTAAAAGATACTTCTCTTTACCTTCAAACTCTCCATCTAAATACAGTACTGAACAGTTGCTAAATCAATGAATGAAATAAACAGATGTTCTAATTGCCAAAGATATTTGCTGGGTGCTTATCTCAAAACACAATGGACTGACAGACCAGAATTCTATTGAAAAGACTACTGAATTTCAGAGGTAAAAATAGTAACCACTGAACATTGATACCATGCAGTCAACATGTTATTAAGTTCACAGTAAACATCTGATGGCGAGCTCTCAGAAATTAAAATGAAAAGCGTTCATCACAATACTCTAAAATGGACTTGGTTCTACCATCTAAGGATTGGGAACAGAAGTGCAAGACAAAGAGAGGAGAGGGTGGGGTGAAAAAGTCAAAAGGTCACCACCGAGTGACCCTCAAGAGAAAAGCCCGATGACCACTAAAGCTCGCTCCCAGCTTGATGGACACCTTCCGCGCCAAGTCAAGGGCCCAGGCTCCCCCTCGCAGCCCAGAGCTGAAGGCCACCACAGCCCTTTTCGGCGCCGCTGCCTGCATTCGCCAGAACCTTAGCACAAAGAAACCACCGAGAAACAAAACACAGACCCCGTGGGCGCCGGTCGGCGTCGGGACCCGGCGACCGGAGGAGCGCTCTCGACTCCCCATTGCCGGGAGAGGCAGCCAGGGCGCGGCGGGCCGCTCAGGCGCCTCTGTCCGGACCTTCCCCGAAGTGTTTCAGAACTTGCCACCCACCCTCCGCTCCATTTTCCCCTCTGGACGAGGATGCGAGACCCCCGTGAGAAGGGCGCGCGAGGACAGACGGGTGGAGATGGGCGGCGGGCCGGGGGCTGACGGACGGGGAGCACCAGGGTCCCGCAGCCCCACGCCCCCTGACCGGCCCCCGCCTCCCCGGCCTCTATTGTTCCCGCGCCGCCCCCGCCGCCGCGCGCTCCCGCCCCCACTCCCGGGAGGGGGTCACGGCTGAGGAGAAGGCGGCGGCGGCGGCGGTGGTGGCGGCGGCACAATAACATAAACACGGCGGGGCCGCCGGCCGCCCCAGCCCTGCGACGCCCGCCGCACTCACCCCACAACGCAGAGAACGGCGACAGGAAAGCCCGCCGGCGGGACTGGCGCCGTCCGGGCGGTCGCCACGGCCGTTACCCCAGGGCTGCTCGCGGTTCCCCGCTCCCGGCCGCGTCGTCCGGCCTCCGCCGCTCCGCTGAGTAACAGGGACGCGGGCCGTCACCACGCACGCCCGCCCACGTCATCGCGCAGGGCCCCGCCCCCGCGCCTCGGAAATGGTCCGCGGGGCGGGGCAGCCTCGGGGCCCGGATTGCGGGGGCGGGGCCCGCAGTCTGGGGGCGGGGCTACTCTAGGTGCAGGGAGGACTGGCGGAGGTCGCCTGGAGGCGGAACTGCTGGGAGAGTTTCTGATAGCCAAGTGTGAGGGGCGTGTCAGGGAGCCGGGCGGGGCGGGGCGGGGCGGGGCGGGGCCCTGTTCCAGGCACGTGGCGGCGTGTGGCCAGAACTCCCAAGCTTTTGCTCGGGGGCATTCCACTAGTGGGAGCCAAAGCCTCAGGGGCTCCTCGCCTCCGGGTTTGAAAGTGAGGTGCACTTAGGCCAGACCCTCCCCACCCCCTCCCGGGGAGCAGACAGCGGAGAAACAAAATGCTCTCTGAGCACACAGCGGAGAGACAAAATGCTCCTTACCTTGACCGATAACACATTACATTCTGAGGACACCTGTCCAGAGCCCAGCAACCTACAGCAAGTAATTTTTCTTTTCAGCCACCTGGAAAAAGCCGTCTCCTCTTTTCCCAAAACCCACCTCGTGCCAGATTGAATGTATTACCTTGTTTATCTCTGAGCCCCACAAAGCATGTATTTATTATAGAAGTGACAAATTGGCGAGCCCTTAAATATCCAACAATGGGTGTCTAAATTACATGCATCCATGCAATAGAATATGTCTTAGCAATTTAAATGTCATGTGTTCAGGGAATTTTTTTAAGATTTTATTTATTTATTTGACAGAGAGAGATCACAAGTAGGCAGAGAGGCAGGCGGGGGTGTTGGCGGGGCGGGGGTAGCAGGCTCCCTGCTGAGCAGAGAGCCCAATGTGGGTCTCCATCCCAGGACCCTGAGATCATGACTTGAGCGGAAGGCAGAGGCTTAACCCACTGAGCCACCCAGGTGCCCCAAGGAATTCTTAACAATACAGGAAAATGCTGACAGTATATCATTAAGAGAAAGAAGCAGGTCTGTATATAATGACCCTACCTACATATTATGTATACATGGAAAAAAAAAACTGAAAAGAAATTTGCCAAGTTATTTTAACAGTACTTCATTATTGGACTCTGGAATGAAAGGCAAATTGGTTCTCTTCTATATTTGGGGATTTTTTTCCCATGGTTTCTAAATGAAACAATTATGTTCATAATCAGAAAAAAGTACATTACTTTAAATAATGAATACATAAATATTTGTGGAATAAATGAGTAAATTCAGGTACACTATCTCCCCATGTCCTGTTGGGCTGGCCTGTTCCCAGTGATTCTGAAATGAAATATATATATGAGCAATCATGTATACATTCTCTCCCCATTTCCTTTCTCCCTCTCAAGCTTCTTTATTTCCTTCCTTCCTTCATTTCTCCAATAAATATCTATTTCATGCCCACTCTGTGCCAGGACTGTGGTAGCCCTGGTAATATAATGGAGCTTACAGATGTAATCAACATAATGTGGAATTAATAATGGTAAAGAAATGCAAAATGATTACTGCATTATAATGCAAACTGATACGGAAACAAAATATTATGAAACTTACTGATAAAGTTAGTAAGGCTAGGAAAGTCTTCCTGGAGGAACTGCCTCTTAAGCTAAGAATAGATTTAACCAGGCAGAAAATGTTTCAGATGGAGGTAACTTGGTGTGCAAGGGTCCTGTGAGGAGAAGGAGCAGAGTGAGTTGGAGAAATTGAGGAAAGGTCGGCACTGCTGGAAGAACAAGAAGGAGCTATGAGATGAAGTAGGGAAGACAACTGATATATTGCAATCATACTACCCATGTCTTTATCCTAAGTTCAATGGGAAACCCTGACATGCTTCAGCAAAAGGGGTGGCATGGGCAGAATGGCATCTTAAAAAGATCTGTTATTGCAAGGAGGCCAGGTAGATATAGCAGTAGTCTAGATATTAGATGATAGAAGCTTGGTCTAGGGTGATGGTAACGGAAACAAGTTAGGGGAAGGATCTGAGGACCATTTAGGAGATCCAAAGCACATATTTTGGTGATGAGTTAGGTGTGTAACGAAGGAAAGGGAGTCAACAAGAAAAACTCATAGGTTTCTGGCTTGTGGCCGAAGGTAGATACTGGTTCACTGAGATGGCTGTCCTAGCAGAAAATGAAATTTGAATGGAAAGACTGTGAGAGCAGGTAGTCTCCCCCTCTGATTTCCCCCAACTCACTTCTCGATAATTTTGATATGCAGCCAAGATTGAGACCGAGTGCTTTAATTTAACGTATTTTCTGTTCTTTAAGATCTCAGAGCAGGGGCAGCTGGGTGGCTCAGTCAGTTGGGCCTCTGCTTCAGCTCAGGTCATGGTCCCAGGATCCTGGGTCCAGGGCTCAGAGGGGAGCCTGTTTCTCCCTTTACCTGTTGCTCCCCCTGCTTGTACTCTTTCTCTGTCAAGTAAATAAGTAAAAATATTTTTTAAAAATCTCAGGACAACCTGTCCTCTCCATTAGCTTGTGTTTCAATTTTTCTCTTAATCTTTACTTTCATTATTGGCTCTTTTTTCAAATGTTCTGCCACCCATCTCCCACAACTTAGATGTACCTCTGCTATATTTTCCTCTTTCCGTCCACATCCAGATATTGAAGATACTGAGTACTTATTCCCTGGAGAAAGAGAGAAAGGGAAATGAATGAGAGGAAAAGAATATATTGTTGAAGTCCTATAACTAATAAAATCCTTGTTATTTTAAATAAGCATATATTTAGGAAGAAGGCTTTCCACTAGACCTCTGGACAAAGATGCTCTTCTTTATTTACAATTATTTAGCCTAGAATTTCTTCTAAGCTGGTGGAATTTTGCCATTTTGTATCTGAGGGTAGGTTCCAGGGCTCCTTGTGTCAAAACCAGCAAGATTAACTCTCAGCTGTGGGTTAACATAGCTGTATCAGGCTGGCCAGCTCTGAGCTCGTTGTGGGACTAAGAAGGCAGAGGAGAGGGGAGATTCTACTCTGGAGAAAAGGCAGGGGCTGGGGCCATAACCCTTTAAGGTATGAGGTTTGAAATGAACACCAGCTACGTAAAGGAGAAAGCAAGCATTTCTCCTGAATCTGAGTCAGTCTGTGCTCTGACTGATGCTTGAGGGATGAGCAGTCCAAGGTAAATAGTGGAGAAATTTATTTCTGGGGATGCCAAGTCATGATGACTGGATAAGGTCTCAAACCCAGACCCCAACTTACTCACCACCCCCCAACACCACCCACAGTATTCTATTTCCTTGTAGAGTCAAGGTGTGGTTGGTAACTGTCAGCCTATGCCAAGCAGAGAACAGGACTTCCCTCGGAATCAGCAGGAAAAATGGGATGTCACTAATACCTTCTTCTCAAAGGTATGACCTTGGCATGTGATGTGGTTCTGTCTACCACCAAGCAATCAAGCAAGGTCTACCATGTGAAGGAATGTCTGTATAGAGACAGGGACCATGCTGTTTGGATTACCTTGTGAGGACACATACCCATGTACTTGGAGAAGACAGAATCACACAAAAGGACATCAGATTCAAGTACTTGGTTCAGTCTGCCCTCACAGCAGGTTGGGATTTCAGAAGGCAGAATTTTCCCACTGTTTCAGAGGTCAACAGCCCCAGGAGGGAGATCAGACAGGACCGAAAGAGGCAAGCCAAAGAGAAAACCAATACAAAGAGCTGGTCTCAGGGGCAGAGATCGTGATCATAAAAACAAAACAAAACTACACAGACACACAGAAAAGAAATCCCCCCAAAAGCCTAGCCAACACACTAGATTTCCTCCTACTCCAACAGGTCCTACAGCTTATAGATCAGAGAGAAGATTCTTGAGAGTGCTGAGTAAACCGTGAAGTCAAGGAGTTTTGAATAGTACTCAATAGGGATCAAAAGCCAGGGATTCAAAATGATGTAACTGTGGACATTTCTCTAGAATCCTTGTCACCCTGGGTGGAGAAACAGAGACAGCCCTTGATGAGGTGTATCCAGCAGCTGGTGGGGGGTGGGGGGCGGTCCTGGGCTTGTTGAATGGAAAGAGGAAGGGCAAGGAGGTCCAAATAAGGACCCTGGAACCCAGGCTGAGCAGGGGGATTGGTGAGGTCTGTAGAGGACACATGGATTGGGGCCAAATTCACATAAGGAACAAGGGGCTTCTGTTCTTTAGGACTGAGAATGGTTGTCAGTGTGTATAAGGGAGTGCAAGAGGGAGGTCGATAGGACTTGGATGAGCTACGCAGTTTAAGTTTTCAATGTGGAGCAGCCCCTAGGCATGTTTATAACTGTGAATGCTTGGTCTGAAGCAGAAGTACAGATCTCTCAAACTAAGTAATAGCGAAACTGTGAGCTTTTTGTGTTTGGTAGGTAGATGACCAGATGTCCCAGTTTGTCTAGGATGGGCCTACATTATATCTTTTGCGTCTGTGTAATGATTAATAGTGTTTCCCAAACTTTCAAATGTACCCAGGTTTAAATGATTGCATTTATCAGCAGTGGCAGTAATAGAAGCCAGCAGTGGTGCCCGCGACCCAGGACAGGGGAGGGGAGTTACACGAGGGCCATGCTAAGACTCCAGGAAGAGACATCTTCCCATGGGTCTCCAAAGACCCTCCCTTGGGCATCTTCATAAATAGGAACTCTTCAGCCTGAACACAAGGACAGAAGCTACCCACAGTCCAGCTTCTAAAGTCATGGTTATGGATAGAGGACTTTCATGCTAAGTATTCAGCTTTGGGATAGCTAAACTCTCTCTTCTCCAGGCTTATTACAGAGTCAAGAGATGGAGAAAGCATGAGAAAGGTATCCCAGGAAAGTGGAGTGAGAGATAGTTTGGATGAGTGGCTGAGCTAGTCACTTCCGTCTTCCCGCTGGTGGACTGAACTACGCTTCAGCAGCTGGAGGTGGTCAGTCTTCCATACCTGTCTAGGATGTACTGTTCTCCCTTCTTCCAGGCTTGGAATCCTTTTGGATCTTAGG